CTCAAGTTCATTTTCAGAAGAGCCAGCAACAATGTCCCACTGCATCCCCGGTAGATTAAAATCACCCATAACTACCACATCATTTTTATTGCTCATAATCCTAATATCACTGTATAACAATCTGCTTTCCTCAGCAGCTACATTGGGTGCTCTGTAACAAACACCGACAATTAGGCTATTTGAGTTTGTAGCATCTAATTTTACCCATATAGCTTCCGTACTTTTACTTATATCAGTAAGCTCCCTTGCCTGCAAGTTTTCCTTTACATATACTGCAACACCACCTCCCTTCTTACCTATACGGTCTTTACGGAACAATGTGTAACCATCCATATTATATTCTTGTCCATCCTTATCACTCAACCACGTTTCAGTTATTGCTATAATATAAAGATAACTAAGTGATGGCAGTTAGAGGAACCTATATTTACAAAAATGGAGAAATGAAGGAACTTTTCCATGGGAAAATGAGGGTTCACTCTAAGACCAGATTAACGGCTTTTGACTTTCCACAAAGAGGCACTTTGGCTGCCGTTTATGCCGTGGTCCTCTCCGCGTTTTGCTGGTTTTTGTAGCACTGGTTTTGGGCTGGATGGTATGGCAAAATATTTTATCATGATTTTTTCCTATCAAATGATATCAATAATTATGGTGATAAAATGCAACTCACCATTGCTTTACTTCTGTCTCCATTTTTTGCTTAAAATTCCCTTAGAATTGCCCTTCAACTGGGTCAGAGGATGAAAAAAAGATGAATAAAAATGTAATAACTACAAAATACCGACAATACATTTTGTTGCTAGTTTTTTTTCTCTGACTGCCTCGCTGTTCAGTACAGGGAACGGATTTGACTAGGAGTAGGCAATATGCCCTAAAAATGATACCACAATATTTGCAGAGATTTTCACAATATCATTATTTATCACAATATTCTAAAATTCATATATGGAAAGCAGTAAAATGTGACAGGTGGTTTTGAGTTTTTCTGATTATGATGAAGAAATTAGTTATAATTGTTAAGGAACGTGATGGATATAATCGCCAAAAATGGACTCATACATGTATGGAATTTGTGTAAAAATAGTACATTATAATTGCTAATTATGCAAGAATACAAGCGTTTAGGCTATATTGCCATACTCACGACATTCAAATTGATAACGGTGTGAATGTTCATGATGATCATATCATATTTTATCGATATATCGCCCAGGCTCAGCGATGGTCTTCCTCACCACCTGCTTGCATCACTCCTCTCAGCATAATGGCCCTTCCTGCAGTCCCACTGGCACCACAAACCAAGCCAAACCACAAACTGCTGCTTTTCCATTTTTAATTATCTGCGCCAAAAGCGTAACCAAACCAAGCTGGTCGCATCATCATGTAACTATTCTCTCTTCACAGTACTGCTCAGGTATGGCCTGGTTCCAGTATGCCAGTGGAAACTGGCCTCCCTGGCCCTCACACAGACTGTCCTCCCATAGCATTCCCAGCTGTGGCGGCTGCAGCTTGGCCTCCACCATCCAGTAGGATGGCTAGGATTTCCCCTTTCAGCATCTAAGCACTTTGAAATCATTCCAATTTCCCCACAGGGAAGAGCAAAGTATCTCTGTACTATAAAATACTCATAGGTGTAATCACAGTTCAGGAACTAGCTGCTTCCTGGAAAATGTGCACTTCGAGTCGGAACTGCTGATTTTATGGGGCTCGTATCTCTATAACTGTAATAGCTTTGTTTGTATAGAGACTACTGTTGTGTTTTATATTGGTTTCTACCCAGGAAGTAGATCGAGTCGGGAGCCAGACAGATCCGTAAATAATACCTAGTCAGAAACACTGGAAAAGCCTGTTTGTGGGTCGCTCCCCAACTTTAAACCGCGGATCTGACAGTGACGCCTCTCTCTTGCCTTCCAGCTCCTAGATCACACTTCAGCGCAGACAGTGGTGAGTAACTCTCGGTGTGCCAGTACCCACAGAGATGGAGACGTGGCAACTGGCCGTCCCCCCTCTGATGGTGGACAGACACCATGCATATTTGTCTTTCACTCTGCACTCATTTCTCAGTTTATTGAGGCTGGCATATTTAAATTGATGTTATTGTCTTCACTGCCATTCACACTCAGAAGCTACTGACCGTGGCACACACACAAAAGAGCACTGAGCTCAGAGTCCGAGTCGTTTTGCAGAATTGCTTCTGTTTGGAGCAGATAATCCCGAAATAAAACCCTATGTGGTAAAGGCTGGGGTTTAAAACACATTAGGAAGAAATTAGAGAATATTTGATCTACAAGTCTCATTTCAGTGGGGGCAGGAGGGCAACGCCACATATTAGAGACTGCCAGTAATGTTTGTGGGTTTGCACACTATGCCAGCTGACGTTACAGCCAGAAAGAATATCTCCCGCTTGCCGTCAGCGCCCTCTGCTGTTCACAGCCTTAACTCCATATACGCCGTTGTCGGTTCTTTTTCAGACTCGTTCATCTCCAAGTCTGCCTCCTTGCCAGGCTACGGCAGGAACGGATTGCACAGGGTGAGATTCAAGGGCTTAACGCAGGATGAATGCTGACAGTCTCCATACGCCTAATAGCTTATTAATTTATGATCTTCGTTACTGAGCTTATGAAGGCCGATGTGTGGTGAAGTTTAGCCGCATTTGCAGGAATGTCCTGTGTCTGATTTTTCACTGTTTTTCAGTCACAGGCTGCTGATTACTTCCAATACGACAGTGGAAATGCAGTAAACTGGGGCATTAGAGGTACGTTGTGGGATTACAGTAGGACAACCACACAGAACTCGCTTCCGAGCAAGAGAGTGAGACTGTGACCTGGAAGACTGTGACAAAATGCCAGCCTAATACTGGCAAACTAATAAATAGATTTACATACTCTGCACAAATCTTAGGCAGCCAAAGGAAATGCTGTCTATATTATCTTCATGTTGGTGTAGAACTATGACATAATGACCTGTTTGTAAAAGTGTGTTAGCTTAACCAATTCAGAACTTCATAAGTCACCCCAGTAATTGCAACAACCACCCAGTATACCCATCTGCTTTTTCTACTGGACCAGCTGCACACCTTGTTTGGCCAATCAGTCCCTCTCTGAGTTGTTTAACAGATTGAGTCAATTAATTAATTGAGATGGTGGAGGAATTCAGTGAATACATGGGATGGCTGAGGTGCCCCTGAGGAGAGGTTTGGCAACCAAAGCGATGTTCATCTAGCCATCCAAGAAGATATCAATGACATTTTGGAGAACAGAAGAAAATTTTGTTAGTTTTTCTAGTGTTACACTTAATTAGCATATCTTACAGTGTTACATTGTGTTTTTTCCTGAGCATTTATATGTTTACTACCCAGAAAAATCCTTTGAGTGCCTAAGACTTTTGCACTTTACTGTATATAAATACTGATTACAACTGAGCAACGGGGTTTGACACTATAGTTTGTTGAAGTCTAGGACATGAATTGGTTGTAATTTGGTTTTTGGAAGCATGTTGTGATGATGCTTTTGCTTGATTTGTCCCATAGAGTACAAGGTAAGAATCTTCATCGTGGAGACAGACTGAGAGACTTGGGGATCAAGGGGCCAAAAGGCATCTACACACTGAGGAGGAAGGGCAGTGGGGGCTCCACACTGACGAGAGACCCCAAGCGGGGGGCTGCAGTTGGGGTTTAATCACACCGAGTGTCAGAGCAAATGAAATCAGCTACCTTAGAATTTCCTGTAGATGGCGCTAGATTGTCTTTGTTCTAGATCCTATGCACATTTGCATGAACACGCGTCAGTGTCTGACCAAAGACTCACTGTGCACTTTGTTTCATTTTGAAATTTCATCTCATTTAGCATAGTTATGTCAGGGCACGGTCCCATACACAGTCTGACATTCAGCTCTCACATCTTCTGTTAGATTTATCCATATGAAACGCTGATAGTGACCACAAGGGGGCGGAATAGGCTGCCGAAGGATGTGGACAGAGCCAGGTTAGAGGTGAGCTTCAGTAAAGACCTCTTTCTGTAAGCAACTTATACATAATCTGTTCAAGCATACTTTTGAGTGTGTTTTATTCATCTTTTTTTCTTGGTCTGTCTATTAGCGTCACCTGTCACCTGAGGAGTTCTACCAAGTGTTCGGGATGACAATGACAGACTTTGACCGATTGGCACTGTGGAAGAGGAATGAGCTGAAGAAGCAAGCCAGGCTGTTTTAACAGGAGAAGGTCCAGCCCGGGACCTGAAGCGGGTCCGCCATACTCAAGAGCCCAGAAAGCAGGGCAACCGTGGCAGGGAGATCGTTTGAGCCACAGACTGGATTCAGACACATGCCGTCCCCGGGGCGCGCTGCTGAACTTCCACATCGCAAGAGATTTGAGTTTGTTTGTTTTTTCCTCCTACAGACGGCCACGGCCCTAACCCGCACTATTACTCATCCTGAGACCCCGGCCTTTGCCTTAGAAACTGTAGGTGTGCACCAGCGACATAGCAGGACGGCAAGTGCAGAGGCATGTCGAAGAAGCGAAGCATAACCACAGCTTGATACTAACTGTGCATTCATACAGGAGTGACAGATGCAGTTATTTTTTTTCGTTTCTTTGTAACGTAGAAGCCTTCTTGCTCACAGCGACTGCAGATCTATTTTTTTACAGAAAGGGGTCAAAATATATAATATAGCATAGAAAATAACGTGGATTTGAAGTTTTTTTGGGTAGCCATATTCTGATATTGTAAGTTGTGACGTGTAGCTTGGATATGCCCTAATTAAAACCAAAGTGGGGACAGGAAAATGTAATGCAAAGAAAGTGTGTATTTTAAATTTGGCAAATGACTGGAAAGTCTTGTTATTGTTGTGTTTTCAGAAAACAAGGTTGACTCGAGGATATAGGTCTGCTGAATGTATTCCCAGCTAAGATGTATAGAAACTATAAAAGTATGTCAACCAAAGGAACAAAAATTTAGTGGTTCCTATAAGTGCTGCTTAGCAAGACATAGATTTCTGTTCGTCTTTGGAAGGAGTGAGGTGCGTTTTTTCCTTGCAGTGAAACACTTGCTTTTGGAAGGACACTTTTCTGTTCGGTGATAACCATATTTGTTTTATACTTTGGTATTATATACACACTGCCCAATAAATTAACTAAAGTGTACTTTTTGTTGTGGCCCGTAGACTGTTACTTAAACAGAAGGGTGTATATTGCATACATGTAAAATTTCACCCATTGGTCTTATTTTAATTCGCGCAAGCCACTGATATAGCTTAAGTTCTAAGCTTACTTGCATCATTAATCGTCACTTACAAATGATTAATTGGTAAGGAAGCAGGAAATCGCGATTTTATGGGTGGTCTTAGTGAAACACTTCAACAGGAGAAATCTCTCTCGGCTTTAGGAAGGTTTTTTTCTATAATATAATAGCCTAGTCTTGCAGTAAAGAACACTGCCGTTTAGATAGACTGGTGTTTGAACTCGAAGGATAGTCCGCAGATCCAGTTAAGGATTAGGCTTTCATGAGACACAGCTTGTCATTTTCCAGGCGCCGAGAGTGCATGGCGCAGTCGTTGTTTGTCGTACATGACTGAATGTTATGGATCGTTACAGTGCTTAAAATGTAATTTCAGGAGTAGAAAACCTCTTTACTAAATAAATTAGTTACTTCAAAGCTTTTAAATAAATGAATTTTAAAAACTTATTTTTTAATTGTACTTTTCTTTTCTAACTGTAACCTAATTCTACTATCTGTCAGTACTGTACCAACAAAATATGTATACCTTATATTTAAATAAATGCAGTTTCCATGTGAATAATTTGAGTATGGCCTTTTTAAAAATAAATAAATACATAAATAAACGGACTGACTCCTCAAAGCCTTGCATTTATCACCTTTTCTCTATTAAACACAAATGCAAATACACGTTAATAAAAATCACATTTTGCTCTGTAGGTGCAGGTTATCCGAGCCCTAGGGAGCGGCCGTTCCGTGGCATTAGGACCCAGCGCAGGCTGAGGAAGCGCGTCGCCTCAGTCCGAAATGATCGCGAACCGGACCGCACGCCCTGCTCGTGTCATTACGGAGCACATGGCTTTGGGCAGTGTCATGCATTTCCTGCCAGGTCTCAGACATTTTTGAATTTAGGGAACAGCTTCGAGTGCTGCTGACATGAATGCCGATTGCACCAACTGTGAGTATCCTACAAATTTAATATCCTTAGAAAAGTCCAAGAAAATCCTAGTTGGCTCTGCCTTTAGAGGCGTCTATCACAATCTACCGAAGACTGCAAAGAACTAACAGCATTTTTAAACGACAGTAAATAAAAACCACTTAATACTAACGTATGTTATTACAGATATGCGAGCAGAAACTAGTTTCTGTCTTTATATATCATGCAGTTTCTCAGGTGTGTTTGATGACGCCGTATGATGTTATACGGCTTGGTTTTCACACCTGTAACTTCAGCCCACGGCTCCGATTACTTCAATTACAAACGACGAAACCATACTTGCCGATGGTGTGTACTTTAAGGCATAAGAGCACGCATTCTGGGTGCATTTTGACATGTCGTTTGCAAGAGACAAGGTGTCTTTCTGTCACAGCACTGGTAAAATGATGCAACGGAGTTCGCGGCTGCTGCAACACATCCCGACTGCAAAGAAAATCCTATTGTATTGCACAATTTCAAACTCACAGCGTTTCTTTTTCTTACGAAAATAGTTCAGTGCTCGCAGTGTTGTTTATTTTTCCTTACTTAGCCGCCTAGTTATGTAAGTCAACATCTTTCAAAGATTTATTTTTTTTATAGGACGCCATAATTATTTCTCACTAAATCCGAACGAAACGAAGACATCATGTGTTGCATTGTGTTGACTGGGACACGGGCTACGTACTCCCACATACACTGGCCTAGATTTGGCCTCTTGCCCCCCCCAATAGATCGGCGTAACTCCCATCTGCTCGCAGCTGCTTTTCACGTGTATTTACAGTCGCCCCGCTGAAATGCGTATTAAAATAAAAGCCCCTTTCATTTTAGCCATGGCTTTTTCGGACTTTCGGGTTCATGAATTGTGACCGGCAAGAAATAATATATCTGGGAAATGAGCATGCCACGTGTGGGGCAATTTATCGCCGGTTTGTTTCCAATTGCTCTTGGATTTGACAGCATGGTTACGATCCCTCTTTTCTCTGGTGTTTATAATATAAAGTCTGACTTTATAAGGAGCTGAGTTCTGACGAGACCCCCTGTCCAGGCGCTTTGTAGGTTCGTAGATCTCTTGGAAGTCCCGCTGTTTGCGTAGCCTAGTTGATGTCTTGGCGTGGAGCTCTGTTTGGGAATAGGGACGTGGTGACTGTTTTATTTTGACTCCGGCAGCGCAGACCGCTGGTGGCCCCTTTGTGTGCATCGCCGTTTCCTCACACAGCTTCCCAGAGACAATGAGAGGGCTCCTACAAGTCTCAAAATAACAAACTGTGACTCCGTATCTGAAAAAACTGGCTGCGGCACCCTGTGGGTCCCGATATGAGGATACAAGAAACCGAATCGCGCAGACCTGCAAGTGAAAATAATAAGAGTAGTTTAATAATACTGTGGATCGGAATGGAAATGCGGAAAAGGGTGTTCGGTAAAGTGTCCCGTTGTTTGATAATCCTTCTGCACGGAGTTCGATTTCACAGATATCACCTCGCACCATCTACTATTCAGACTGGACATAAAGTTCAGACATTTTCAAGTTTATTTCATTGCACTTCTGACCCAAGTCATGAATAACGAGTTCTCGGAATGACTTTTATTCCGTCTCCTATTTCTGATCTGTGTGTCCTCATTGATCAGATCATGTGGTTCAGTTGGGCTTACTGTGGACCCCTGTGAAGTGGAACGGCTCTGAGGTCTGATAGTGATCCGGCAAGTCTGCCCTGACGGCTTTCTTAAGGCTGACTGCTGTGAGGGTGGTCCCGCTTTCTTAAGGCTGACCACTGTGAGCGTGGTCCCACACGCGTGTGGATTCACACAATGACTGCTGCTTCTTAAGAGCTGATGTCTGAATCTCTCCAGTTTCCACACCTGTATCCTCAGAAAATCTCTTTCTTACTGGGTGCCAGAGGGAAAGTGCAGACCCTCCAGGGGTGGCCAGCTCGGTGGCTGCCTTCCCAGCCTGCATCTGGGCACTTGGTGGACTTGTCTGTCCTCGGACACGGGGAGCTCTGTGGAGGTGAGTCAGGTGGAGATGGAGGCGATATTGGGCAGCTGCCGATGGGCGTCTCTCCTCGGTCTGCGCCCTGCAAGCTGGGGAAGAGAGGCCAGGCTGCGCCATCTCACAGCTATCCTGATGCTCTCTCCTTCATCTCCTCCTTCATTCTATCATTGTTAACCCCCCTGCCCTCCCGATGTTCCCTGCCCCCTGTACTCTTTTCTGACAGCAGGTGAAGGCCAGGCCTCATTCCCAGTTTACGCTGCATGTGTAAACTTCCCCGTCTCCCCAGCCCCGGAAATGCTTCCTGATGGATTCCGCTTGCTTTGCTCAAATAGCAGGAAAAAACAGCCAGTGTCTGTAGGAGTCGCCGGAGATCCTGTCTGTTATCTGTGGTTCCCTTTTTAGGCCTCACCACCGCCCTGCTCTGTGCCTCCTGTCTTCATGCGTGTATGCGTGCATGCGTGTATGCGTGCATGCGCGCACGCATATGAGTGCCCGTCTTGTTTTTGGTGTCTGTCTGTTGTTTCCTCAGAATCTGGTCCAATTGAAATAGCTGAGGTGGCTGCTATTTTGGGCTAATCGCTATGCTGGATGGAAGCTCACCTGGCTCATCCTTTGGGGGGGGGGGGGGGGTCATGTGACTCCACTGCCAGACATCCGTGACATCGGCCTTTAATTGCGAGTTGGCAGATTCCATCGCATCTCAGGGTAGCGTGACCTGGCCATCGCATTATCCCGGGAATGTGACATCAAGCATGGTCACTAGGCCAGATCTGTGCTCTTTCTGGAAAAAGCAGGGAAGCACGTTGCTCGTCCTGCGACAATCTGGTTTTGTTCCCACGTTTCCTTCCACCAGACAATCTATCAGTGGGCAGCCGCAGTCGGGGCTGGGGGGGGGGGATTGAAGCTGTGGAAACAATTGCTTATTATGCCCTGCTTCCTTCAAGCAGGCAGAACGCAAACGGTTGCGGTCAGCATTTGTAGAATTAAGACCCTTTGCTCAGGCCCATGTGCACAAAGACCAAGATTCTATAACTGACTGGTACGACCGTCCGTTACACGCAGAGCAGTCGCACCATTTCTGGGTCCCCTTCGGGACGTCTGGCTGTAAGCATATGGAAGAACTTAATAAGAAAGAACAGGCATCTTTTGTCTCTCGGCATGGGAAAGCCAAGCCTGAAATTAATAAAAGAATCGAACGTGTTGCAGATTTCACGCCCATGGTCAGCATTGGTCCCCGGTCACTAGCGGGAAAACCATTTTGGTTTTTCCGGTCACCAAAAGGGACACTACGTCTTGCTGACACGTTCTGACGCTGATGTGTAGGAACCAGCCCGTCTGGGGCTGAGCATTGCATGCCGGAGCGGAGCTGCTCGCTGGGACAACAGGGCCTGCGTCTGGACACAGAAACGTGCTTTAGCTGGGTCATGGGAGAGCGCTGATGTCTGTCGCCCCAGTTGAGTGCACTGAGATGTTAAAGGTTGCTGGGCATGTTTTACAGCCCTGTTAAGGCCTGCCTTTAAGGCCTGCCTTTAAGGCCTGCCTTAACACATACTACTGCCTCTGCTGACGAGGAGTGAAAAAGTGAAAATGACCATGTACTCAGGAACGTGAAATTAGTTACCTAACTGTTTGCGTGCTGTTGCTATAGTGACAGACGTGGACCTGACCTCCCAGCAATATTGACGATTTATACTAAAACAGAGAGACACTTTCTCGTGGCCAGTTGGAGAGTGGGTGGCGCCCTGCTGATGTCAGTGACAGGGCCTGATTCTAACACAGTGGCCAAGGTGGTGAGTTAATACAGGTATTCAGATAAGCGTGGGGGAGGCAGAGACCATTTGATGATCCGTCTGTGGGGGGCACAGTGTTTTCATGAAGCCAGACTGCAAAACTCACAGAAGCTCATTCTAGAAAGACACAAAGATTAGCTTGTGCTATTTCTGTATTACTACCGGCATATTCCAACCGGCGTTTAACGTGGTCCTGATATCCAGGATAATCACTCTTTCACTGGCTCCCGCCCCTGTCCTCTCCGAAGCTGCACGTCTCTCTGGATCTGCATTGACACACAGCTCTCCCCGGATCCCCAGATGCGATTCCCTCGCCATGCTTTGAACAGCGGAATGAGTGCTTCTTAATCTGTAGCGTTTGCAGACTAATGTGCGTCTTCCTTGCCCATCTGATAAGGTCTCCCCTGATGGGGGCTTGTCTAAGGGCTCAGGACCAGGCCCCAGTGCTGGGAATCTCCCATCGGCACCCCTGCGGGGCGACACACGCACATGCCTGTAAATATCCGAGGCCAGAGGGACAAAGCGGCCAGTCTTCACACCCCCTCGGGGTGGGGGGGGGGCAGGATATTCTTTGACATAGCTGCCCAGTGAAATCATGGGGGTTTCGGAGATCGGTGATATGAATGACAGGCGGAGGGCTGAAACACAGCTTTGTCTGGGGGGGTTGGTGGGGGGGGCAGAGGCGTAATGCCAGGTATGCCCATTTCCCCGCCCCCTCCTCCAGGGTGTGTCGCTGTGTGCCAGTACTATCTCGCTGCTGCTCGGGTGTCGTGGAACCCGCCAGAAGTCAGAGGGTCGCCTCAAACATATAAAGGACCCGGCTGTCCCGCGCCTCCCCTCCCGCGACCCCCGCATTCCTCGGGCTGCCCCATCTGCATTATTTCTCCCACGCGGATGCAGACAGGGGGCACGCCGCGGTGTCAGGTGGCGTCCAAAGCGAACCCCGACACTCCCCAAACACAGCCTGGAGCTTTCCATCAGGGGGGAGCACTTCAAAGCTGCCCACTCCTACCGTAACGACTCCCTTCAAAGCCAGTTAATATGTAAACAGGTGAGGGGCCGTGTGGGGGCCGTAACTCCCTCACATGCGTCCCCTGGTAAGCCTGCGCTTGGTAACAGACAAACATGGGCAGCTTGACTAGACCAGCAGTGTATGTGCATGACGGGCCGCGGGCTGGGAATGTTTCGGGCAGAACAAAGACGGCCCAGTGACCAAAGGGTTTATTAGTGAAGTTTTAACCATGAGTTTTGCTGGTAAGGCTGGGGCTTGTGTGTATCAGTGTAAGATAAGCAGGTAGCGTGCTGGTTTATGGGCTGCATTTATGACCGAAAGGGTTTGACCCCCAGAAGGGCAGATCTGTTATTCCCATGATGCCTTGCTTCACTTTCTTCAGTAAATATGTCCAGCTGTATAAATGTAGGACTGTGAACTGTGCCATGCTCCAGGCAGAACGGTCTCTCAGTGCTTCCAGAAGGGTCCTCTGTAGCCTCTAGGAAATCGGGAGCCGTCTTTGCCCACATTGCAGTTTGTGTTTGATTATAACTGAAGTCTTGATTTTCACGAGAACCCGGCGATCCCGGCGAACCCGGTGGGGGGGGGGGGAAGGCGAGCCGGGGGGACAGATCCCAGCTGGGGCCAGTGAGCACTGGATGCCCCGTGTCATGGCACTGTCCTGCTCCCTTCTTGTTGTTCAGCCTCCTAAGCAGCTTAACTTCTTGTTTACACTCAGGGTGCAGTAGCGAGGTCTCGCTGTGAAAATAACTGGGTCCTGCTGAAATGTGGGGCATTTCACAAGACCACATGGGGGGGGGGGTTTCCATGGTTTTTGTGAGTCTCATGCTAACATCAGTATTCAAGCAAACAAAAGTACTTCAGCTGACATAAGTAGTCTAGCTGACAAAGGTACTCAATCTGAAAGTAGTACTCAAGCTCACATTACTACGTAAACTGACTTAAGTACTCTTGTTCACAAAAGTCTGAGGGGGCATCTTTAAGAATGGGCTCTCAGCTGCCTTTCCTGATGTGGCCACCGTGTGACGCAGCCCCCCTGTCTGGGGGGGGGGGGGCAGTGCCTGTGTAAGGGACTAACATAGAGATGCTAGAGGAGTAGGACCTTGCTGGACTGCATTCTGAGACAGTACCCGGTTAGATCTTTGAGCCTCGACCTCTAGCCCCAGACAGAAACTGTCACTGTCCCTTGCTGTGCCAATGAATTTCCCCCTTGGGCTAGGGGACACATGAAAATGGCCTCTGTTCGTTTAGTTACATTTTCAAGTGGGAAAAGTCCAGAGAGCTAACAGCACAGAGAGCAGGGCATCCACATTAGAAGTGTTGAGGGGGGGGGCAATGGCTGGGGGTGGAGCCAATGGCCGGGGGAAGGGGCTAGCGGCTG